ATACATAAATTATTAATATAATATAAAAATTTATAATTTATAAAATTTAAAAAATGAATAGATTTTTAATAAAAATTAACAATTTTTATTAAAATTTTCCTCAAGTCGCGAAATTATTGTCGATAATAAGTTAATATTGGATAAAACATCTGATGGGCTTCATACTTTAAAGTGCAAATAATCGCGTGTGAAAATAGCAAAGTAACATTGAGTTATAGTCACGTTAAATATCATTGCTACGGGACATAGCAAATGCAACCAAACGAAATCTGAGGAAATAGGAATGTAATCATGATCTATAATAGATATCTCGAAAAAGTATATATATCAAATAAATGCAGGAAATCGTGCATATATCACATTCGTAGGAAATCGTGCATACATCACGCAGCATATATATCGGAATTAAGGAACACAGAATAATCAGCAAAACGAGTTAAGGCATTATGAAAAAATGTAAAATCCAACATTCTACAGTGTACAACATTGCATTGTAGATTGTTCTAATTAAAAAATATTCCAACGAATAGTTATTTTAAAATTTTATGCATTGCATATCACATTATACAACAAGAATTTTAATTAAAATCATAATGCTGCACATTAATAATATATTTAACCCAAAGCAATTACGCAAAGCCATATTAGATTTATAATTCCTAATAAAGATTCAAATTGTTGCAGTGAGAAAACTACTATATCATTCTCTCCTTATTGTTAATTAGATAAAATCATTACATAAAATAAAGATAAAATGACGTACTCTCCAAACTCATCTTCAATCAACGGTTAGTCGTTTTCACGATGACACATAAGTTTCCTCAATAATAAAGTTAGTTCGTTATCATGAGGTCACTTTGCATGGGCAATGATTAATTGCGAACAATTCGCAGTAACTCCTTATTTTCGCATTTATAATTAACGCGTATTATTTTTTATCACATTCTACATATTATAAAGAGTATTTTTATAATAGGGTTATATAAATACTCTTTATAATATGTAGAATGTGATAAAAAATAATACGAATATAAATACGATATAGATACAAAAGACCAGACATTCAGTCCTGACCAGTCCTTCAAACTTACACTTCGTGAACTGGCAGATGACCAGACAGGTAAGGCGTATTCAGAATCGGTATAATTCTTTCGAAGCAAATTCTTCGGAGTCAAGCACACGGTCAAGCGCACTGACCTTCTCCAGAAAGTTCATAAAGATTTTAAACTTTCAAGGGCGAGTTATTAGATCCCCTGATAAATCGGCCAATCCACTCGTCCCAAAAAATCTCTTCGAGTCATGGAATTCTCACAAAAGAATCTTCATTTCCGTTTCACTTTTTTTAAAACCTTGTACAGAAAGTACAATAAACTGACTGTCTGCTCGACAATGCGAAACTCATCGACGGATGCCGCGCACCGTAAGGAGAACACGAGTGGTCAAGCAGCCGATCAACGTAAGCAGTCGGCGATCGCCGACTTAGGTTCAAGAACGAAATGATGTGTCGGTGTGTGAAGTGAAAGAGACGCTGCGCGCGCCTCTGCTCTTTCGTTCTCATTCTCTTTTCGCCCCGAATCGGTCCATCCTCCTCCGACCCGAGCTCACGGATTTCCCCACTTTCAGCTTAAATCCATTCGTATACGTATATTCGTAGAAACCAAAGGCCACGTGATGCAAAATCTAATCATTACACGGTAATAATAATAATTGATGAGTTTGCGCGAGTGGCGAATCGTCTGCCACCTTAAAAAATCACGAAATATCTACACATACACACACACACACACACACACACACATATATATATATATATATTTTTTTTTTTTTTTCATGGTTTCCAAGGCGGCAGACGATTCGCCACTCGCGCGAATATATATATAATATATATATTGCCGATGACCAATTTCAATTATAACGGATCAACGCCTCGAAATTCATTCGAATGGGACGATAAATTGACATGCTTTTCTCTTTGATCTCTCAAACATGTTTGTATAATCGAATATTCCATCATCTTATTTGTTTATCCACATCTTATTCATTTTCTTGGTCGACTGTTCCATCTCATTACATAGTTTATATATCTTACTTTCACTCTTATGTCATATACAAGGTTTTCTTAAAATGATTTTCTTCTGTATGCCGAAATGACCATATGCGATATGATGCAATTTTTGTTACGTAACTTTGCCATTGCAACAGCAGCATTGAATTACCTATTCTATGATAAAGACATCGAAAACTATTATATATTGTTGTTTAAAAACTAGATTACTGATAATTCTCTTTACAACAGAAAATCTTTTTTAATTCAAAATCGATTTTGTTCTTAAAACATATCAAAAAATTATTAATTTTTTTATTAAGTTATTGAAAAAAATAAACTTTTTAAATTTTACAAAATTATGTTTTTTAATTAATCTCAGCTGGAGTTCATTAGAATTTAATTTAAAATATAATTATTTGTTTACATAATAATAAATTATCATTTCCTTAACATTTTTATTAAATAGAAATTAAATCTATAAATATAAAAAAATATCTACTGATGAAATGACTTCTTATTTCGGCACATTAAAATCTGTGAATACTACACTTATTTATTATAAACTACATACATTTTATAAAATCAATACACTTTATTGAATGAAAAATTTCACCGGAAATCAGTAAGTTGATATCAGCGATTACAATTGGATATATAGGCATTGTGAAAGTGGTTCATCTCATTGAATCTGTAATTTTGCTAAACAGACTACTATCAATGTGCTACTTATCTCAATTTCTCTCTCTTCACATTGTAGTGTTCTTTCATTTATGTGTTTTGTGCAATAAATCCGCAAATTCTTAGATCTCTCTATAACCAATCAAGAGACAAAAAATTTATTGTACGACAAAAACGCATGAATGAAATAGTATATGAGATACGTAGAAGATAATAAGTCAATTATGATATTAACATAAAAGTTGTTTCAGAAACGAAAGAGCTTTCGATTTATGTTCACTAAAGCTTTTTTACTCATTCATTGTGGCGTGTATTATCTACCATATAAATGTTGAATATGTTTTTTTAACATCGTGTATATAAGATATTAGACAGGAAATTATTATAAAATTATGTATAACTATATAATTGTACATAATTATATATATCTTTATTATAATTTGACATATGATTATATATGAAAAATAATTTTGCAACTGTCATTATTAATTGCAAAATGTAAGTTATTTATTAGTTTCCGCTGAATAAATTGTAGGTCAAGCATTGCGGTCAACTATGCTTGTAAAAGTGGCCTCTTTAAAGAAAGATTATATCAACTCACAATTAGGGTCAACGAGTTTTATTATTGGCCAGTAACATGTTCACATGTAATTGCGGATGAATGTCAGAATTGTTAGCGAAATTGCTTCTGCTACATCAATCCACATTGTGACTACAAAAGTCTTTTAACTTCAATGTAAATGAAAT